CTGCAGTGAATTATCGAACCCAGAAGAGAGGTGGTGGGTGTTTTGGGAGGAACGGTTGGTAAAAGGGCTGGAGGGAGGCAGCATGTCTGGCCTTGTAGTAATAGGCCTTGGGTTACTGCTGGTAATCCTATCTTCCTCTTGTGAGATTAGAGGAGGTCAGAACATGTGGCCTCCTTGTCGTTTTTGCAGCAGTCAAGTGCCTTAGCCACTATGCTACCAGAGCTCCTAACTGACTGGAAGAGATCCATATTTGTACCCATTCCAAAGAAAAGTGATCCCAAAGAATGTGGAAATTATTGAACAGTATCATTAATATCAGAGCTCTGGTAGCATAGTGCCTAAGGCACTTGACTGTTAACCAGAGGGCTGGCAGTTCAAACCCCCCAGCCAATCCCCGGAAGGAAGGTTGGGCAATCTACTTCCGTAGTGATACAGCCTCGGAAATCCAAAGAGAGGTCACTATGAGTCCGGTCAGACTAAACGGCACATAACAACAACAACAACAACATTAATATCACATGCAAGTAAATTTTGCTGAAGATAAGTAAAAAAACGGTTACAGCAATATGTTGACAGGGAACTTCCATAAATTCATGCTGAATTCAGCAGAGGACATGGAATAAGGGATATCATTGCTGATGTCAGATGGATCTTGGCTGAAAGCAAAGAATACCAGAAAGATGTTTACTTGTGTTTTATTGACTATGCAAAAGCACTCAACTGTGTGGATCATCATAAATTATGGATAACATTAAGAAGAATGGGAATCCCAGAACACTTAATTGTGCTCATGAGGAACCTTTACATAGACCAGGAAGCTGTCTTTCGAACAGAACAAGGGGACACTGCATGGTTTAAAATCAAGAAGGGAATGCATCAGGGTTGCATCCTTTCACCATACCTACACACTCTGTATGCTAAGCAAATAATCCAAGAAGCTGGACTATATGAAGTAGAACGAGGCATCAGGATTGGAGGAAGAGTCATTAACAACCTGCAATATGCAGACGACACAATCTCGCTTACTGAAAATGAAGATGATTTGAAGCATTTGTTGTTGTTGTTATGTGCCGTCGAGTTGTACCCGACTCATAGCGACCTCTCCTTGGGTTTCCGAGGCAATATCACTATGGAAGTAGATTGCCCCATCTTCCTTCCGAGGAGTGGCTGGTGGGGTTGAACCGCCAGCCTTCTGGTTAGCAGTCAAGTGCCTTAGGCTCTAAGCTACCAGAAGCACTTACTGAAGATCAAAGACTATACAGTCTACAGTATGGATTACACCTCAATGTAAAGAAAACAAAAATCCTCGCAAGTGGAACAATAAGCAGCATCATGATAAATGGAGAGAAGTTTGAAGTTGTCAAAGACTTCCTACTACTTGGTTCCGCGATCAACACCAATGGAAGCAGCAGTTAAGAAATCAAATGACATATTACACTGGGCAAATCTGGTGCAAATGACCTCCTTAAAGTGAAGAGTAAAGATGTCTCTTTGAAAACTAAGATACGCCTAATCCAAGCCTTGATGTTTTCAATCGCCTCATATGCATGTGAGAGCTTGACAATGAATATGGAAGACTGAAGAAGAGTTGAGGCTTTTGAGTTGTGGTGTTGGCGAAGAATGCAGAAAGTACCATGGACTGCTAGAAGAACTAACAGATCTGTCCGGGAAGAAGTGCAGCAGGAATGCTCCTTGGAAGCAAGAATGGCTGTCTCACCTACTTTGCTCGTGTTGTCAGAAGGGACCATTTGCTGGAGAAGTAGATCATGCTTGGTAAAGTGAAGGGTCAGCAAAAAAGGGGAAGACCCTCAACCAGATGGATGAGGGTGGTGCAGGCCCAGGCAATGTTTCCTTCTGTTGTACATAGGAGGCTATGAGTCGGAGTCCACTCAACAGCACCTAACAACAACAAAGCTGAATTTGGTGTTATTTCTATCCGTTCTCATGGCTTCACCTGACAGATCTCTTCTGTTGAATTATGTGAATCCACCAATAGCTTGAACTCCTTGGTAGCAGAGAGTTTAATAATAGCTATATCCAAAGCCTAATGCTCTAAAACCCAACTAATTTTGAATGAATGAATGCTGCCTTCATCATAGAGTTCGGAGGAGGGTTTTTAACCAAACGGTAAGAACTTTGGTCTTCATAGTCCATTCATCACTACAGTTTATGGGTTCGTTCCCAGGCATTGCGAAATATTTCGGTTTAAAATCCCTTACATTTTAAAGTTAGAATTAGACTAGATTAATAATTCTGTTCAGTCTTTAATTTAAAGCAGGCAGAGACGAAAGTAGTTCCCTAAGACATCTACCAACCGTTCGAAAGGAGCTAATTCCTTGGTTTTGCCAGTCCCGGGGATTTTTTTGCACTTAGACTCCGCCCTCTAGGCCCAGAATGGCGGAAGAATCGAGCGCTACGTGGTCAGTTATCACACAAATGCGGAGGCATCCCGACGTTACGCCGGTGGCGTAGCAGGGGCGGCCGGCTCTTCCTCTCCGCTTCTTCGGCCCCTCCCCCAGCGCGCACACGCTCATTGTGAAGCTACGGCGGCTGCTAACCTCTAGGGCTGTTTAAGATCTAGAGACTTTAAATCCTTGGCGCGTGTAGCACTCGCGCTGCTCCTCTCCCACTCCAAAGGCTAAGGGCGCGAAATTCACTTTATTTTATTCTTCCTCCTTTCCCACCTTAAGCTAACTGCCCGAGAGCGCGTAGGCATCTCGCGCCACCTCTCCCTGCCTCCCCGCCCTTCCCCCTTCGGGAGCTCCCGCCCGCGCGCCCCCCCTTTCCCCGGCGACGCGCACGCGCGCCAGGCCAGCTCGCGCCCTCTCGCTTTCCTCCAGCCCGCGAGACCCCCTCCCCTTCCGCCTCGCGGCGCTTCCTCGCGCCGCGGTCTTCACTATCCACCCCCAACACCGCGGGGCTCGCCCCCCCCCCCGCCCGCCAACGGCGGGTCCCTAGCTTCCCAATTCCCCTCGCTTCCCGCGCCCTCCGGCAGGGGCCTAGTCCCGGACCCCTTCGCTCCCTCCCTTCCCCCTGATTCCCCTTCCGGACGCTGCCATCATGTTGAAGCCTCAGCCGCCACAACAGACTTCCCAGCCTCAGCAGCCGCCCCCCACGCAACAGGCCGTGGCCCGTCGACCTCCCGGGGGCACCAGTCCTCCCAACGGCGGCCTCCCGGGACCGCTGGCCTCCACCTCGACTTCCCCAGGGCCTCCCGCGGCAGTTTCCCCTTGCCTAGGGCCTGCTGCCACTGCAGGGAGCGGGCTCCGCCGGGGAGTCGAGGGCATCTTGGCGCCGCAGCCGCCGCCGCCGCAGCAGCATCAAGAAAGGCCAGGGGCAGCTGCCATCGGCAGCTCCAGGTGAGGAGGGGTGGGCTTCCGGGCGGGGGTACGGAGGCTATTAGCAGGAGGCGGCGGCTCTGTTCCAGCCCGGTTGCCGGCGCCTGAGTACATCTGTGCCGGGCGAGCGGGGCCTTAGCTTGACTACCTTCGGAAGACGCCCGAGGTAGTGGTAGACCTCCCGTGAAGCTCGGGGGTGGGTTCCCTCAGGTCCTAACAGGTTGGAGGCAAATGGTCCCTGGGAGGCCATGGGACATTTAGTGGCCGGGCTAAACTCTCAGGGCCTAGTCAGGGCTTGGGGATCAAGCTTTCAGGGGAGGCGGGGCACACCCCTCCAATACCGTCGGAACAGGGAGTTGGGGGGGAAGAAGAGGTGAGTGGGGTACCCGGCTCCATTAGCACGAAGGGTCTGGCGGTCCCCGGCTTCAGCCAATGGGGAGTCAGCTGTGGGAAGGGGTCCCCCGCCGTAGCCAATGGAGGGGGACGCGCGGCCCACAGTTTGGCCAATGGGGAGGGAAGGACTTGGGAGCGGGTTGCTACCGCCCCCTTCCGGGTCTGGCCAGTAGGAGGGGAGCTGGGTGGGCGGGGGGACGGAAGAAGGGACGACTGGGAGGACTGCGGGCCGGGAACCTCTAGCGCGCCTGCGCTCTTATGTACGTGCGCGCGGATGCTCTGTCTCTTGACCCAGGCGTTCGCGTGTCCCGGGTAATACATTGGGCAGAAGCTGGGAGTGTGCGTGGAGTGGTGCCGGACTTCCCAGTCGGTTTCTCGCTGGTTTATGGAATTGAGGGTGGTGATACACGCAGGCGCAGTGGTTTCTGGACCCGGGAGGGGGCATTTTGAAGAGGCCCATGGGCCTTAGTGCGCAGGCGCAGACCGGGCGAGGCCTCCCGGTGAATGGCTTTTGCGGCTGCGCTGTCCCCCAGCCCCGACAACGGCCCCCCCATCGCCCTCTTCAGTCGCGGGTTACATCAGCCATCGAGGAGCGGGATTACTGGGCTGTTGGTGACCTGCCACAGTTGGTAACGGGCTGAATGGGTAATGAGGCCTAGGAGGTGAGGTGTGGAGGGGGTGCCCTCCCTGGGGTTGGGGCGTGAGGCTGTTTGGAAGGTAATGTGCCTGAAGTAGGTAGTTTCAAATCCACACTCTCCGAGCTTCCGCCTTTATGTCTGGGGTGGGTTATTGGTTATAGAATACTGTGTGTAGCATTGGTCTGTCGGGACGGATATAGCCCTCTGCTCCTTGAAGAAAGTGATGAGGTTGTGTTGAATTGGCTCTTCAGAGCAATGACAGCTGTTGTTGAGGTCTGTGTTACCGGTATTTGGAGGCAATGTATTACTGACTCTGATGCCCACTATTTTCTGTGTAAGGTGAGAATTTGGGTATCTCGTTGATAAATTAAGGCGCTCTGGTGGCCCAGTGCTTAAGGCATTTGACTACTAACCAGAAGGTTGGTGGATCAAACCCACCAGCCACTTCTGGGAAGAAGGGTTGGGCAATCTTTTTCTGGAGCGATAATGCCTCAGAAACCCGAGGAGGGGTCATTCAGAAGGTCAGCAGTTCAAACCTACCAGCTGCTCTACGGGAGGAAGATGAGGCACTCTACTTTGTAAAGATTTACAGTCTTTTGTAGCTTAAATCCACATCTTTACTTTGTATATAGGAGCTCTGGTAGCATAGTGCCTAAGGCACTTGACTGCTAACCAGAAGGCTGGCGGTTCAAACCCACCAGCCACTCCTCGGAAGGAAGGTTGGCAATCCTACTTCCGTAGTGATACTGCCTCGGAAACCCAAGGAGGGGTCCCTATGAGTCGGGGCCGACTTGACGGCAAATAACAACAACAACAACTTTGTATATGGTTCTAGGATACCAGGCCCTTTGAAATTAATAATGTAAAGGAAAATTAAACAGACTTAAATAACTAATTTCTTGATTCTTTGCCTTATAGGGGACAAAGCACAGGAAAGGGACCCCCACAGTCACCGGTGAGTGCCTTTCCGCCCACTAAGATACAAAGACCTAAAAGCCATGTACATAGGATAAAGGGTAGCACAGTACAGAGATAGTAGATGGGCTCAGAATGCCAGGAGACCCAGCACACACAAGATGGGGGCAAGTATGAGCATTGAGCATGACGATTTAAAAGGAAAGTGAAGTGGGGACCAGCCACTCCTCATTGTTCCCTTCTTTGTCACTGACAGGTGTTTGAGGGTGTCTACAACAATTCCAGAATGCTGCATTTTCTTACAGCTGTTGTGGTAAGTGGTACCTAACTCCTAAGTTGTTTGAGACTGTTATGAGTCAGTTTGCTGCAGATAGAGACTATATTTTTCTCACTCTCCCAGGGCTCTACTTGCGATGTAAAGGTGAAAAATGGCACCACCTATGAAGGTATCTTCAAGACTCTGAGCTCAAAGGTCAGTGGCGTGGGAGGAGGAGAATGAAGCAGATTTATTAAAGGGATGAATTGAGTGATATTGGGCAACAGTATGACTCTGTTACTCATTTATGTAGGCCTGTGTCAGACTAATGCTACATACAAGCAATAAAAGACATGGGTCTGAACAAATCTTGGCACTTTTAATGTTAAAATGCTTAAATTTTAGAATGGCAAATGTTTAAATTTGAGGCTTTTGTTAAGTCATATTGTTGCCTTTACATTTCTGCATACTGACCATTGGGTGTTGGGGAATGGGTGCTTTTGTAGTTTGAGCTAGCAGTAGATGCTGTGCACAGGAAAGCATCTGAGCCAGCAGGTGGCCCTCGTCGGGAAGATATTGTGGACACCATGGTGTTTAAGCCAAGTGATGTCATGCTAGTCCACTTTCGAAATGTTGACTTCAATTATGCTACTAAAGGTATTGTCGTACACCATTATAGACCTGTTTTGTGTGTAGAGGAGAGAGGACAGTTAACGTGCGGGTGGAATGTGATGGCGGCTTCTTTTGTTATTGGTTTTGGGGGGGGCGATACGCCTTGGGTTTTTTTTTTCCTTAAAAATGTATTTTTATTTGTAAGATGTAATGTGAATTACAGCCTGTGTTGTGGTTGTTCACCTCCTCCTGCATACTTAGTTTTCAACTCCTTGGTCATTTTGAGCTATTGAGGTTAGGCTATTTATGCTGCTCTCTCCCTAACCTTGGCAGATAGTATATATAGTTTAAACCTGGATTTTCTTAAAGTTTTCTTTAGTTCTGAACTCCTTGTAGTGGGGGAAGGAAAGATAAGTATTATCTGGTTCCTGATATGTTGAATCTGTCCCACAGACAAATTCACCGATTCAGCCATAGCCATGAACTCAAAAGTGAACGGGGAGCATAAAGAGAAGGTGCTGCAGCGCTGGGAGGGGGGCGACAGCAACAGCGATGACTACGACCTCGAGTCTGACATGGTATAGTCTCCCTCTCCGAGAACCTGAGGGCTGGTGACTCTGCTGCTAGAATGTGGGTTGTTGACACTGAGGTCGTGATTGGGGAAGGAGGAGGAAAATCCTTATTGTTGCCTGTTGGTTGCAGTCAGATTCTAAATAAGTAAAATCAAACTCAATTCCATTGAGTTGATTCTGACTCACAGCAACCCCCATTGGGTTTCTGAGGCTGTAAATCTTTACGGAGGTAGATTGCCTCATCTTCCTTCCATGGAGCAGCTGGTGGGTTTGGACCGGCAACTTTCTGGTTAGCAGTTAGATGCTTTAGGCATCTACCAGAACACCTTTCCAAATAGAAAGGTATAGAAGAATCACGAAACTATTTCCTCCCACTATCCCTGAGTGACAGGTATTAATATTTGCTTCAGATCACTCTATTAACAAATTGTAGGTAAGGTCGAGCATTATTTAGGTCCGTTAGCTTTACGAAAGCAGCTACTTTGAAGCACTTGATATTTCTCTGGCCAGTATTTCATACATATGGATATTCGTGAGTGACTGTATTATTGTTGTGATGTTTAGTTTACACTAGGGTTCATTTTTCTTGATTAACATTTGACATTGATATGTAAGTCTAGTGCATTGCTCATAACTATTGTACAGTGTTTTATTGCTGTATGTACACACTTACGCACATACACACCACACTGTTTATCCTAGTCCTTACTGATTAGTGTTTTATCCATTATTTTGCAATTAGAAATAATGTGTTAACTTTCAGGTGTGTATTCCTGTGTACGTGTGCCAGAGCTTCTGTAGGATAAAAACCTGGAAATAGATTTATTAGATCTTAGGACTTCAGTTTCATTAACCCACTGCCATTGAGTTGATTCTGACTCATAGCAGTGGGTTTCTGAGGCAGTTAATCTTTACGGAAGTAGATTTCCCTGTCTTCCTTCCATGGAGTGGTTGATGGGATTGAACTGCCAGTTAGCAGTCAAATGCCTTAGGAATTACACTACCAGAACTCCTTAATTTTATTAGTTACTGCCAATTTGTACAGCAATTGGTGGTATTAGTTGATAGTCCCACCAGCTCTGTTCTGTTTTACACTCTTGCTTTCGTCACATTTTTAAAGTTTTTCAGTTGAGGAAAATGGCATCATTATTGCTTTATTGTTAATTATTGCATTATTGTTTAAATATTTTCCCTTCTCCCCCTAGTCTAATGGATGGGACCCCAATGAGATGTTCAAGTTCAATGAGGAAAACTATGGTGTAAAGACCACCTATGATAGCAGTCTCTCTTCTTACACGTGAGTATCTTGGTACTTCCAGGCAATGCAGTTCAGGGTGTGGGGTCACTAACAGAAGGCACAAGTTTCTAGGCGGAACACAGCATTTACTTGTGCTTTTCTAGGTGCCCAGGTTGCCCTCCCCTGCTCACGGTCTGCCTTATGAACTCCTCACTCAAAGGTTTTCTTTTACCTTTTCCTGATTCCAGGCCACTTTATGGGTAGAGTTACCTGTTTCTTTGACCATCCTTGTCTCTTCTCTAGAATTGAAAGTATGTTTGCTTATATTTGTAGCTAAGTTTGGCTCAGACTTGGAGAGATGCCTTGGTTCCAACTGGAACCCAGTGGGTACCCGTGAGATAGGTGCTTCAGTTGTTAAAGGGGGAGATGCCCACATACCTGAACTGGGGCTAGAACTAAAAGAAATGTTTTCTCTTTTTCCCATCTTGTCCCCTGGCACCGGGATGGCTGTGGTCTATGTGGCTTCTCTCAGGGTGCCATTAGAAAAGGACAACTCAGAAGAGTTTCGTCAGCGGGAGCTGCGCGCTGCCCAGTTGGCCCGAGAGATTGAGTCGAGCCCCCAGTACCGTCTGCGGATTGCCATGGAGAATGACGATGGGCGCACTGAGGAAGAGAAGCACAGTGCAGTCCAGCGGCAGAGTTCAGGGCGGGAAAGCCCCAGCCTGGCATCCAGGTAATGACTGGGGACAGCCAGGACCATTGAGTCTTGCTGTATGGGTCACAAGCTTTGTACACTGTTGTTTAAGAACATAGATAAAGACTAATATGTAGTTATTTTCCATCTTTCTTTGGGAGATTAAAGCCTAGAGAGGTTGAGTAATTTACTCAGGGTACCACGGCTAAAGCTCATAGATTTAGGGGGAGAAAATCCCTCTCTCCTCTCTCTCCCAGGGTTTTGGTATATGGTTTTTTTTTTTTTTCCTTTTTTTTTTATTGCACCCGTATGTATTTGTTTTTTTTCCCCTTTACAAAATGAAGGCAAATTCTCATAATGTTGTGAAAGCTGCATCTTTAGTTAAGGTTCTTGGCTTGTTAGTTCAGGAATGGTAGAATTGTGGAACACTGGTCAAAGTGATTGAGTGAGGCTTGACGTAACATAAGGTCATAAGCCTGTAGCCACAGAACGTTTAACCAAGACAGATTGTCAGGTGGGATAGTGAAAGAAGTTAGAGCCAGGGTTCGTGTGTGTGTGTGTTAGGGGGTGGGAATGGAGGGTGGACTGCAAAAGGGAGGACTTCATCTTTAAAAAATGGGTGGGTTTGTGGCTACCTGGCGTTACTTGAATTCTCTCCGCAGGGAGGGGAAATACATCCCTCTTCCCCAGCGAGTTCGGGAAGGTCCCCGGGGAGGTGTTCGATGTAGCAGTTCCCGAGGTGGCCGGCCTGGCCTTAGCTCTTTACCACCACGTGGTCCTCACCATCTTGACAGTAGCAGCCCTGGTCCAGGTTCTGAGACACGTGGTATCAATGGAGGTGAGTTTTGTGGAGCAGACTTGTGGGGGGCAAGTACAGTAAGAGGGTGGGGCACATAATTGAAAAATAGGATTTAGATGAGTTGGAAGGATGGTGCATTGGTGGTAATATAATAGCAGGTACTCTGTCTCTTTTTACCTCGTTTATTTTAAAAAAAAAAAAAAATAGGCCCTTCCCGCATGTCCCCTAAGGCACAGCGGCCTCTGAGAGGTGCCAAGACACTGTCTTCACCCAGCAGTAGGCCTTCTGGAGAAGCTTCTGCTCCACCTCCTCCTGCAGGTAAAATTTCACCAGTGGTGGTTGAAGATAGAAGGGTAGAAATTTATAGAGGGATGTAGATGTGCCAGTTGCTAACTGCTGGAATGGAAGACAGTTTCAAATATGAAAGATGATTTGGGGAGGTGGTGTAGGTTTATCCTTTGGGGAAATAAATTTTTAGTTTCTTGAGTGCAGGTTGTAGCTGGCTGGCAGATGTCTTTTGTTTATAGAGTTAATGATTTAGTTGCCAACATTCTAAGATAAAGAAGTCCTAATGCTTACTGTAGGAGCTCTGGTGGCGTAGTGCCTAAGGCATTTGACTGCTTACCAGAAGGCTGGCGGTTCAAACCCACCAGCCACTCCTCGGAAGGCAGGTTGGGCAATCTGCTTCCATAGTGATACCACCTCGGAAACCCAAGGAGGGGTCGCTGTGAGTCAGGTCCAACTCCACGGCACATAACAACAAGTACTTACTGGTTTTTTTTTTGAGATTCAGAAAGTTCTGCCAGCTTTGAACCTCCTTTCTGAAACATGGCTCTGGTTGGCTGCACTGAGTCATGGCTGCCTCTGGAAGCCTTCTAGTTTGTCCTGGTGCACAGGAGCCGTTCCACCTGTTGTGTACCTGTCTTGCCTTTTCGTCTGTCTAAGCATTTAAGCTTGTGAACTTGCTCACTATATAAAGATGTTTGGTGCTAACCTAGGTAGATGCCCTGTGCTTGTTGCTTATCGACCAGCAGTAACCATCGTACAGCTCTCCCCTTTCTTCCAGTGGGCCGGATGTACCCTCCACGCTCTCCCAAGTCTGCTGCCTCTGCTCCAATCTCAGCTTCCTGTCCTGAGCCTCCCATTGGCTCGGCAGTGCCAACTTCTTCAGCTTCCATCCCTGTGACATCATCGGTTGTGGATCCTGGAGTAGGTTCCATTTCCCCAGCTTCTCCAAAGATCACACTGGCCCCCACAGATGGTAAGAGCCAGATGACTGGGGACTGTGGGTGGTGTGAACGTTGTTCTGGACGGAAGGACCAGGTCTGTCTCTTCCTGCCCAGTGAAAGAACTCACAGCCAAGGAGCCTGGGAGAAATCTGGAGCCCCAGGAGCTGGCCCGGATAGCTGGGAAAGGTGAGGGTGCTTTGTTTCCCACCCAGGTGTAATGTCTCTTTGTTTAGGGGGCATTTGTTTGTTTAATTAGGGAGGTTGTTTAAGAAGCAGGCGCTATTGCCCCTTTGGTTCTAGTTCGTTTTTTAGGTTGTCCTAGCATTCTCTTATTTTTCTCCTGCTTTCTTTGTTCTCTGCCTGTTGATACTATGTAGCCACCTTTGAGGCAGAAATACGTATTTTCTCCTTTACTGCTGTTTTCTTGTAGTCCCTGGTCTTCAGAATGAACAGAAACGATTCCAGCTGGAAGAACTGAGAAAGTTTGGGGCCCAGTTTAAGGTGAGAGACAGAAGTACGGGAATGAGGGGATGTGAGCAGGGGGAGGAGGAGCAGGGGAGGTGACTGAAGCAGCAGAGGGTTAGGAAGGGGGTGGGGGTGCAAGGGGGGCTCAAGCAAGGGCCAGACCAGCGGGACCTGGGTCTGGACTAGAGTACTACATGTGCGTTCTTCTCATTCCAGCTCCAGCCCAGTAGTTCCCCTGAGACCAGCCTGGATCCTTTTCCTCCCCGGATCTTAAAGGAAGAGGCCAAGGGGAAGGAGAAGGAAGCTGATGGTCTGTTGACTTCAGAACCCATGGGGTCCCCAGTCTCCTCCAAGACGGAGTCCTTACCAGATAAAGAGGAGAAGCCGCCCCTGCCACCAGCAGGAGGCACGGAGGGGCCAGAGCAGCCCCCACCGCCTTGCCCAAGCCAAACCGGCAGCCCTCCAGTGGGTCTCATCAAGGGTGACGACAAGGATGAGGGCCCTGTTGCTGAGTAAGTGGGATGGGGACTGGGTGGATGTCAAAGGTGGGGAGTAAGCCATGAGGATTTACTTTCTCATTTTTTTTATAGACAAGTAAAGAAGTCAACATTGAACCCCAATGCCAAGGAATTCAATCCTACAAAGCCTCTGCTGTCTGTGGTGAGATGGGACGGGAGGATATGGAGTTTGGGTTCTGTGAGGAACGCTTTGGAAAAGGGGGTGTTAGGGCAGTGGAGGGGAGCACTTGCCTTCTAGCTGCCAGGCAGTGAGAGAAGACATGGTGAAAGCTTAGACATAGCAGCAGTTGGGCTGGTTGAGGGGACATGGAGATAGGGATCCTGACTTGTCTGACAGGTATTTATGGGTTTCTCCCTGGGACTTTACATTGGTTTAGGAAATAGTTCACTGACAGTATTTGGAGCACAGGCTTCAGTCAGGCAGATTGACTTGGCTTGAATCCCTGTACTTAACAAACTTTGTGGTCTCAGATAAGCTACTGAATTTGTCCTCTCAGTTTCCTCACCTGTAATTTGAGAATGCCCATCTCATGGCGCTTGATGTGGGGTTTCTCAGGATAAAGTATAGAATGTCTTTGGTGCATAGCACTCTGTGAATGCTGGCTGCTGTCTTTACAGGCATGGAAGAAAATGATCTAAAAAGTCAAAATACCATTCTTCCTTGTCTCTCACAGAACAAATCCACCAGTACCCCAACTTCCCCGGGGCCCCGGACTCATTCAACTCCTTCCATCCCGGTGCTGACAGCAGGCCAGAGTGGGTTATATAGTCCCCAGTACATCTCCTACATACCTCAGATCCACATGGGGCCAGCTGTGCAGGTAAGAGACTGGTTGGGTACAGGGTGAAGGAGTGGAGTTTGGTAGGGCCAGCTGGGGAGCTGGGTCAGGGTTGGTTTCCTGGGCATTTGTGAGCAGGTGCTTCAGCCTTACCTGAGTCCTTTCCCGTAGGCCCCTCAGATGTATCCGTATCCTGTATCCAACTCTGTGCCTGGGCAGCAGGGCAAGTACAGGGGAGCAAAAGGTGAGCAGGGGCAGGAGGGGTGCCCGGCAGGGCTGCCCACAGCCTCCTGGCAGATGGCACTGGAGCTCTGCACTGTTTTTCCCCAACCCCCAGGGTCCCTGCCCCCCCAACGCTCGGACCAACATCAGCCAGCCTCAGCCCCTCCGATGATGCAGGCTGCCGCCGCTGCTGGCCCACCTCTGGTGGCCGCCACACCCTATTCTTCCTACATCCCCTACAACCCACAGCAGTTCCCAGGGCAGCCTGCCATGATGCAGCCCATGGCTCATTACCCCTCACAGGTGACTAAGGAGGGTAGAGAGCCCCTGCTAAAGATCCCTACTTCCAGTAATGGGGGAGCAGGGGGAGACAGGCAGTGTTCTGTGGGGAGCTGGCCAGCTTAGGATTGTTGTCATAGACTTGGACTTCAGTCATGGCTCTTGGGTCACTGGTGGGACCTATAGCAAGTCATTGAATGTCGGAGGCTTAGTTCTCACCTCTCTACAATGTGATTAAGATGGTATCTACTTGGTAGAATTATTAGGAAGTTTGGAAAGTGGTGACGGGGCTGCAGTTGGGCTGCGTATAGGTTGATTGGCCAGGGGACATGCCTCCAGAGTCCTCAGCTTTGCCAACTGGTTTTCTCTCATCCCACCAGCCGGTGTTTGCCCCCATGCTCCAGAGCAACCCACGCATGCTGACGTCGGGTAGCCATCCCCAGGCCATTGTGTCATCGTCCACCCCTCAGTACCCTTCTGCAGAGCAGCCCACCCCCCAAGCCCTTTATGGTGAGTTCTGCTGTGCCGCCTCAGCCCCACCCCCTTGCCTCTGCTCTGGGCTGTGCTCCTTGGCCTTTTGATGTGCTCAGCACTGGTTCTCTCTTCCTCTTTCCTGCTGCAGCCACTGTTCACCAGTCTTATCCACACCATGCCACGCAGCTCCACGCCCACCAGCCGCAGCCGGCCACCACGCCTACTGGGAGCCAGCCGCAGTCCCAGCACGCGGCCCCTAGTCCCGTCCAGGTGCCTGCCATGGGGGATCTGAGAGGTGGAGGCAGTAATGGGTGACTGGAAGAGAGTTGGTCACCCCATTGCTGGGGGAGGGTCGTGGTCACTGGGCCTGGATATCAGAGGAGTGGGTAGCACTCACCCTTCCCTCCCCCTGACAGCACCAGGCGGGGCAGGCCCCACACCTGGGCAGTGGACAGCCACAGCAGAATCTGTACCACCCAGGGGCCCTGACAGGCACGCCGCCTTCTCTGCCACCGGGACCTTCTGCCCAGTCCCCTCAGAGCAGCTTCCCCCAGCCAGCCGCTGTGTATGCCATCCATGCTCACCAGCAGCTGCCCCACGGCTTCACCAACATGGCCCATGTCACCCAGGTAGGAGCCCAAGGGGCCTGCTTCCTCTGGATCTGGATCTGGTCGTGAGAATAGGAGTTACGGGCCTCTCCCTTCCTGGGGGTGCGCTGTGCTTGCTGCTCCCTGACCCTTGGATTCTCAGAGCCAGACTCTGCTTCTGTGGCACTCCCAGCTCCTTTCTGTTTTCTACAGGCCCATGTCCAAACTGGAATCACAGCAGCCCCGCCCCCTCACCCTGGGGCTCCCCACCCGCCCCAGGTGATGCTGCTGCACCCACCCCAGAGCCATGGGGGGCCCCCCCAAGGCGCAGTGCCCCAGAGCGGGGTGCCTGCACTCTCAGCTTCCACACCCTCACCCTACCCCTACATCGGACACCCCCAAGGTGAGCAGCCTGGCCAGGCGCCTGGATTTCCAGGAGGAGCCGATGACAGGATTCGTGAGTTCTCGTTAGCTGGGGGAATTTGGCATGGAAGAGCTGATGGGCTGCAGGTGGGGCAGGATGCACGGGTTCTGGGTGGGGAGTGAGGGGTCTTGGAGGCAGGGCTGTCCCACAGGGCGCCCGCCGACCTGCACCTGTCTGTGAAGTATGTAGGGTGGGCAGAAGCCACAGCCGCCGCCGCCAGGGGCTTGCTCCTGGCTCTGTCCTTTGCTTCCCTCCGTCCTCGCTCAGTTGTGATCCAGCAGCCCCCCTCCCCACTGCCTCCCCAGCTCTCAGTGACCCCGACTGTCTCCTGACTTAGCCGAGGTAAGGTCAGCGCAGCAGACAGGGCCAGGCTGGGGTGTGGGGGGCTGAGCTGGGCACACGAGTAAGGGCTCTGGCTCACTGGGAAACAGCGATTGATCTGTGCTTCTGACAGTCCCAAGAGACACCCTGAGGAGGCCGCTCCTACCCAAACGCACCCCCACGCCCCACGCTGGATGGCATTGGACAAAGGGACGGCTGCTTGGGTTCTAATGCTCCTGCTCTCTTCTCTTTCCCCTCCAACCAGTTCAATCTCATCCCTCCCAGCAGCTCCCCTTCCACCCCCCGGGGAACTGAAGATTGTCCTGGCCGCGACCTGAGACCTCCATGAGTGGAGGGAAGAGTGATCTAAGTCTCTTCCCCCAGCAGCTCGGACCAGTCCCAGCCCCCAACCCACCTCTCCCCCTGGGGAAGCTGGGGAATTCCTGCCAAGCACCTTGAATGGGAAGGGCCTTGAAGTGGGCAGGGTCAGGGCCCAGCGCGGGTGGGGGGTTCCTGCTCTGGCTCTGCCCATTCCTACCCATCTAGCCCTCCCGTCCTCTCATCTATCCCTGCTGGAGACAGAAGAGCTTTTATTTTCTATTATTTATAACTTCAGACTTGGGCCCCCTGTTCTTCTTCCCCATTAACTTGAGTGACCTGCGTGAGAGAGACAGACAGACATGCCCCACAAGGATGGTTGGACAAGGACTTTTACTTTTTATTACATAAAAATATTTAAAAAAATAAAAAAAATAAAATTTTAAACTAACTTAACCTGCCTGTAGTTTCCTCTCTGGAGAGCAGGGCAGGGCCACAGACAGAAGCCTTCCAAGGACTAGAATTCTCGAGATCGTGGATGTTGGGCATCAGGGGCCTTCACTTGAGGGGATGGTGGAGCCCAGCAACTTCGTTTTCTCCCAGGGCTTTTTCTCGGTGTTGGCATTGCATTGATCCTGCCGTGGTGCTCCTTCCCCTCCATGTGAAAACTGTTCCTCATGTCTCAATTTAGGACACAGTGAACCAGGTCGGGCTTAACGCTGTTCATTTGAAAGCGTTTGCCACACATAACCTTTTCAAGACCAAAATATTTTTTGTTACCATGTATTTTCAGTAATTGAAGGCATTTTGAATGAAATGGAAAACTTGGGAGGTAACATGTACTGCGGGTCTTTGGTGCTGTGGTTGGTAGGATGAGGGCCATTTCTTCAGATTCATACAGTTATACATGATCCCACCCCACCCCAGTAGCAGCAGACACTAAAACAGATAGAAATTTGCCACTGAACCCTAGAAGCAGGAAAATGTTAGGTGGCCACTGTCCCACAGGTCATGAAAGCATTAATGTTCTGATAATGTGGTCACAGGTTCTGGATAACCAGATGGCTAAGAGTACATGACATGAGTGCTCACCGAGCCAGTTGCCAAGATGAGGCAGGGTGGCAGGACAGGATGTTGGTGTCCTTGTATGTGGAATGGCGAGAACATTACCTGGTGTGTTGTGCAGTGGAAAGTGGTTATTTTATCTGGGACCAAAGCCAGAGAAAAGTGGCCAGAACATGGCAGAAAGGTATTGGGGAAGAAGTCTCAGGGTGTGAGGATATGAAACTTGGCAAGTGGGGAGAAGAGGTAGGGCCATGGAGTGGGGTCTCTTGACAAATGAGAAATGGGCACACTGCTGCGTGGTAGCAAGTTAGCTGCTGAACCAAGCAGGGTTAAGAGGCCTACAACAAAGAGCTCTTGGAAGGAAGATGGGTCTGGGGTTGAGGAGGGCAGGAACACCTTTGGGGTCTGGGGTGTTGTCAGACACAGAGTACAGGGAACAGTGCAACTGCAAGTATTACTAAGTAGTCCTTTTTATGCTTTGAGGAAGGATTGCAGGTTATAATTATTTCTAAGCAGAAATCAGAGTTGGAAGGGAACTACCCTTCATCCAAGTAGAACCTTCCTATGAAACGGATTCCGCTTGGGACACTGAATTTAAGACAAACTCACTATGTTACTGAAACGATGCTTTCTGCAAAGTTCGTTCTTAAGTCCTGCTTGTTTCCCTCTGCTCATGGGTCACAGGTCAGGACCCATGACCCTTCCTCCTGGCTGCTGGTCATTGGGTTATCCTGGGTGTGTTCGCTGGTCAGCGGCCGTGCTTGAAAGGCGTGCCGCTGAATCCCCACAGATGATTTCCTGTTTTGTTTGGAATCTCCACTCTGGCTAGTCTGCCTCATTTCATGTCTTTTTTTTTTTTTTTTTCAGTCTACCAGCATTTTGTTCCTTATTTGCCAAACAGCCTTTTTCTTAATTTTAAATCCCAGTAGATGTTGGAAGGAAACCCTTCTACCACCTCTCACCCGGGCTTGGAGTTGGGGTGTAACAGTGACTGGTCAGTCCATCAGGGAGCACTGCAGGGCCCTTTAAATTGCTAAGATTAGGTAGCTAGCAAGTAGCTCTTACGTGTTGGGTTTTAAGGTAAACAAGATAGTCCCCACTCTTAAGAGCTTAAATGGGTAGCTAGGTATTAACAACTTGGTAATAACTACTCAGAGAAAATAAGGTGGACTCGAGCCCATGCTGGCTCCAGGTGACAGCCACATCATTTTCTAAGAGCTTCCAGGATAGTTCACAAACATCTTGCTGAGCATTTCACTAGATAATCAGCCACACACTGCTTGCTGGGCTAGCTTTTTCCTTTGGCGTCTCTCCCTAACTCAAGTTGCCATAGCAGTGATACACCTATTGCTGGGTATATCAATTCCTACTCATTGCAACCCTATTTACAGGGTTACAGAGTAGAACTGCCCCATAGGGTTTCCTAGGCTGTAATCTTCACGGGAACAGATTCCTGCATCTTCACCGCCATGGAGTGGCTGGCGAGCTTGAACCACCCACCTTTTAAGTTAGCAGCTGAATGCTTAACCAGTGCACTATAGGGCAGCTTTAAAAAGCCATCAGGGGAGTTCTTCCACCCTTCACCATAGAGATGAACTCTTCAGACCAGAGACATGAGATCGGTTAATACGCCTCTACATCTCCAGCTCCTGGGCTCCAGTTCCCTTTTTGAATTCCTTGTCCTCTTCAACTTACACAAAGGACACAAGACAGGCTTAGTCTACTATTCACAGAACAGTTTATTGGCCCACTCCAGATGGCAGGCCACTCCTCTGAATAGGGGAAGTGTCAGTCTAGCTGTACTTTCCTGCTTTGACAAGGGCTGCAGTTTGAGCCTTGGGGGCACCAGAAGCAGGAAAGGGACAACTGGCCAGGGTAGCCCCGAAGCAGATGCCGAGCAGAGGTCCATAGACTCAACTCCACTTGAGGTTCTTGTCCTCCTCAGTCAAGGCCGGGGTGTCAGTGACAAGGCCAGTGCCAATGGTACGGTTGCCATCTCGCAGGGTGAAACGCTGGCCCTTTTCTAAGATCATCGGCTGCCTCAAAATCAGGGTGAGCTTCAGGTCCTCCCCAGGCATGGCAAGTTCCTGGAGGAAGAGAGGGATTATGTCACAGGTGACCAGTGTGCCTTGCCCTCATCCAGTAACTAGGCTGGCTACCATGGAGATGGAGATTTGTAGGGCACGTCAGGGTGATGACTGTTGCTAGGAACAGCTTGATCCCGGCTGTCAGGCAGATTCAACAGCATATGCAAAGGCAAGAGAGCATGAATGGGACAAGTGATGATCAGTGTTCCCAAGGTACGATCTTGAGAAAAAATGCTGAGGAAATTTGGGATTAGGCAGGTTTCTAAGTTGCAGAACTTCTCAGCCTTCATATGCTAGGAAACTCCAATTATAAGAGGACCCTTTCCCAGGAAATCTAGAGATGCATGCTGGTTTAGCTATGCTTTTAACCCACTTCAGCCTCGGACATATGGGTAGACTCACTCCCTCTAAATCCACTAGTCTCGACCCTTCCATCTACTAGTTTCACCTACATTATTAGCCAGCCTCTGCCTGATGCAAGGAAATCAAGTCACCCCAGTTGTCATCTTCTATCTGCACAACTCTATGAACAAGGCAGAGTTGATATGACTCCTTCCCACTTCCCTATACCCGCATACCTTCCCTGGAGGCAAGATGACACGACAGGCCATGTCCCAAGTCAAGGAGAACATGACAGGCATGAAGTGGGATACAAAAGGTTTGTGGCGGCCACCTTCCTCCTTGCTGAGGATGTAAACCTGGAGAAGAGAGAGCAGTGAGGGTGGAGCTGGGCTTGACTGGAAGTATGGCTTCTATGCAAGAACAGTTTGACTTAGCCCTGCCTGCCATCACCTGGAGCCCTCACCTGGGCCTCCACCTTCTGATGAGGTTGGATGGAACCTGGCTTGGCCATGACCAGACCACGCCTCAGGTCCTCCCGCTTCAAGCCTCGGACCAGTGCCCCGAGGTTATCACCTGCCTCTGCCCTATCCAGGCTCTTGTGGAACATCTCAATGCCTAGGAAGAAAGACAGACAGGAGGGAGAAGGGACAAGGGAGGCACATCTGGGGCAAGGAGAAAGTACGAGGCGTCTACAAGGTAAGAGGTCAGCCTGGAATCGGTCCCTGGGTCCCAAGGCTTCCTGTACCTGTCACTACAGTACGAATGTTCTTGCTGTGTCCCAGGAACTCGCACTCGTCTCCCTTCTTCAAAATGCCATGCTCCAGGGTCCCTGTCACCACTGTGCCCCTGCCTGGGAGGGAACAGGAGAGGACATCAGGAACCCTGAACTACTGCTGGGAGCGGGGGTCCAAACAAGCATGTTCCAGTCCTCACCAGGGATAGAGTAAACAGACTCTACAGGCAGCAGGAAAGGCTTCTCCAGGTCCCGAGTGGGCACTGGGATGAAAGTGTCCACCGCATCCAGCAGCTTCTGCACCGACTTCAATCCTAGCTCAGGGTCACGTTGCTGGGAGGGGAAGTGACAGGACTCTTGAAATTTCCATTCTGCTTCTTGTACTTACCAAGCACCACTCACTCCCTGCTTTCTGAACCCCCTCCTCACCTCCAGGGCACAGAGGGCGGAGCCCACGATGACCGGAGTCTCCTCCCCTTTGTAGCCAAACTCAGTGAGCAGTTCTCGGATCTCCAGCTCCACCAGCTCCACCAGCTCCGGGTCCTGGACAGCATCTGCCTTGTTCACATACACGACGACATGCTCTACCCCGATCTGCAGATGGGAAAGATCTGCGATACTGGCCAGCGTGACACAAACCCCACTGTTTCCCGTTCCAACCCACCAGGTGTCTGAGTACCTGTCTGGCCAGTAGTAAGTGCTCTCGGGTCTGGGGCATGGGCCCGTCATTGGCTGCCACCACCAGGATGCAGCCATCCAGGGGAGCAGTGCCTGTGATCATATTCTGGGTGGGAGGAGAGAGGAAACACAGCCTAGTTCAGGGACCTCAGCTCCTTCTCCACCTGGCCAAGATAGCAACTGAGAACTAAGGCACACATTTCCCTTCCATTTCCTCACTGCCCACCTTGAGTAGTCAATGGCCACAAATCCATGATCTCAATCTCCTACATCTCAGTATCTTAACTTCCTCCCCTCAAGCCCGCCATTTATCCCGACAAAAGCCCTCTCCCTCCAGGCCCTCAGCAACCCTCTCACCTTCACGTAATCCGCGTGGCCTGGGCAGTCTGTGTGGGCATAGTGGCGGGCCGCAGTGCTGTACTCCACGTGGGCCGCATTGATGGTGATACCGCGGGCTCGCTCTTCCGGAGCGTTGTCAATCTCCTCGTACTTCTTATATTTGGCTCCACCGCCCTCCGCTAGAACTGGAGCGAGGAGAACAGGCCTTTCAGACACGTTCCAACGCTCCAGGCGGGGCTCAGGCCACACCCCTGAGCCCCTCCCACCTACACAAATGAATCTGGGAGGATTCTAACTCCCTCTCCCTCAAATCTGTAACTTCTTCACCAGAAGAAAAATTCAAGGGCCTCTAAGTCCATCCCCGCGACTTCTCCAGGGGAAGGTCATTCAGGGTCCCCCCAGTTCGTGCATCACAAAGTTTTTCATGTTTAGGGGAATTCTGCATGTTCCGTTCTGCCTGCTTGAGTTCTGGTTCCTGGGGCCACATGAATCACGTCCACCAGCCACTTTCTTGGCTGCAGGTCCTGCCTATAGATCGGCGGTACCGTACACCCCCATCCCATGCCTGCTCACTCTTGGTGATGGCGGCAGTCAGCGTGGTTTTGCCGTGGTCCACATGGCCGATGGTACCCACGTTCACATGAGGTTTATCGCGTACATAGGTCTTCTTGGCCTCCACGGCCAAGCCGCGGCACAAAAGGGGCGGTGCCGGGGCTTTTGGCGGCCGCAACAGACCCTGCAGTAGTGGAGTCGGGCCGGCGCCAAGACCTGCTGGAACAGAGGCTTGGACTCAGGGCGCAGGCTCCAGTCCGGCAGTCCCCGGTGCACCCTACGTGTCCCCGGGCCGCCACTGCCCTCCCTGCCCCCTCACCGCAGAAGCGGGGCATCACGCGCAGCAGGGTCGTGGCCGCCATTGTGGTCGTGCTGACGCCCCGGGTACCGCGTACCGGTAGCCCTCGCTTGCAACAGGGAAAGGACACTTACGGTTGGAAATCACTTCCGACGGAAGTGAGGGCCGAGGGGGCAAGTCTGGGCCCCTCTAGCCCTTAGTTTCCATGGCTGTCTCGGCCGACTTCCGGAAGCGTGGCAAAGGACGTCGGGAAAAGTGCTAGGGTCTCGGGGGCGGGGAAAGATGGAGGTTCCCCTAATGCACTCGAGCATGGCCGGCTGAGGGGATATGTATTTTTCTCAGGCGGCGCCATAGATAGGGACGGGCAAGGTGGAGCGCCCCATAATGCACCAGCATTATAGTCTCGGGGTTACGGGGATTGTAATTTTCAGAGCAGAGGGTTTAGTGTGGAAATTAGGTAGGTCCGCGCCGGGTCCAGAGGGTCCCGGCCAACGAGAGGCAGAGGGGGCCCTAGCCCAGACTGCTCAGAAACGCCCCTGACCCGGCAGAAAGAAGTCCCAAACTCCCTGGATACCGAGCCACTGCGCGGTTCTGGCAGCCTCCGAACCGCACTGGAGGTAGGACCGGACCCTGGGTGCCTTCCGGAGCTAGGGCTCAAGTGTAATCCTTGTCTCCACTGATGCTTTATTGTCTTACCTATAAAATGGAAATAATAGTATCCACTCAGTAGGGAGATCCCGGCGTTTGGACGTGAGAGGAAATGAGTTGGGCTGGAATCGGGGCGGAGGCTGAGGGACTTGCAGGTCGTACAACCCCGGCTCCTCAAAACCTGCCCCCTCCCCCAGCCCTGTAGTGCCTAACCTCATGGCGTCAGAGCCCCGAGAGAAGGCCTTGCCACCCGCTGCTGTAGCCCTTCGGTGGCCCAGGGAGAAATTCCCCTGGTCAGCGCCCCACCGCCCACCCCATTTTACAGATGACACCGAGGTTGAGGAACAAGCCCGAATCTTGTTCCTGGATGTGTCCCTAGCGCCAAGCACAAGGAGAGGTATGTAGTGAGTGCTCAGTCAATGTCTGTTGACTGATTGAATAAGTGTTAAGGGTAGTAAATAACCTTTCATGTTCACATCTATCATCTCATCACAGGTTCTCGACATCCTCCTGAAATAATAGCAGCTGCTTAACCTGATGAACGATTCTGACACTCACCACATCTATGACTCAGTAGACAGTGTTTGTTTCTCATAGATTCCTTGATTTCTGTCTTGGAGATTATGACTCAGTGGAGTTGGCACAGACCGGCAAACTATATAACACACACACACACCCCTCCTCCAGAGGAGGAGCTTGGGGGAGGAGTCAGAACTACATATGCTTTTTATGTATATCAAGCGTTGTGTACTTGTTTCATTTTGGTTCGGTGTTCCTAAGGTTACCTGATGAGTGGTCGGATCTGTTATACCCCCATTTTACAGGTGAAAAAACTGAGGATCAGGGACATGAAGATTAAACCCCCAAAACTCCAAAAATCCTAAAAACACGTGCACTTCAGCATGGCCCACTACCATTATTTAGCTGTCATTTTACAGACTGCTCAGATGAAGTGAGGAATTTGCTAGGACTTTTCTCCTTCTGGCCCTCCAGCCCATCAGCTCTGCTTAGGAAGGGCTGGTGTAAGCATACAAGTGTTTTCTTTGTCCCCTTCCTGTTCCTCAGTCACTCCAATTCTGGGAATTTATCCTAAAATCCTGTTGGCCTTTAGGTGATAATGTAACCAATGGTTTCTATTTTAGTAGTGCTGTATTTCTTTTTTTTTTTTCCAGCTCCCCTCCCACTTCCTTCCCATAGTTATCTCTTCCCTGTGTCCTTCCCTCCATGCACTCCTGTCTCCTGAGCTATGTCCATGAATACACTGCCCTTCTATTCTCCCATGATTATTGATCTCTCCAAGGAGTGTATCTACCTAATGTAAATTTTCAGCTCATATGCCTGTCTTTTGTTTAGCTGGAAGCCATGGGAGTGGGTTCAATTCCAGACCTGAAGGGCAGCTAGGGTGTATTTCTTTTTTAGCAACTTTTGTTGTTATGTGCCTCATAGCGACCCGTCCTTGGGTTTCCAAGGCGGTATCACTACAGAAGTAGATTGCCCAACCTTCCTTCCGAGGAGTGGCTGGTGGGTTTGAACCAACAGCCTTCTGGTTAGCAGTCAAGTGCCTTAGGCACTATGCTACCAGAGCTCCTAAAAGTTTGTAGCAGAGGATGGTTTCAATCCATCGACCTCTGGGTTATGGGCCCAGCATGCTTCCACTGCACCACTCTGCTCATACTTTTTAATTAGCAACTTTAATTAGGTATAATTGACATACAGTAAATAGCACATAATGAACAATTTTATAAGTTTCGACACATCTTTTTGAGCCATGAAAGCATCACTGCAATCAAAATAATGAACATATCTATCACTTGCCTCCAAACATTTTTTCCTGATGCTCTATAATCCCTCTCTCTTGCCTCTCCCAATTTCCCACCCTCACATCAGCCCTTAGGCAATCTCTGGTATATCTTCTTTCATTGTGTATTTATGTTGTTTCTGTCACAAGTGCATTTAGTAATTTTTTTTTTAATGTTTAAAATTTTTGTGGTGTTCCCTCCCCTCCCTTGTCTACCCCGGGTAACCAACAAAGAAAGTTTCCTTCCATATATAAATCTTGCCATGAGTTTTTACAATAATGAACTAACAACAATATTTTTCCTTCGGTGATTGACATATTTCACTCAGCATAGTGTCCTCCAAGTTCATCCATGTTTGCGATGATCAATTTTTAAAAAAATAATAATGGTGTTTGGTGAAGGTTTACACAGCAGTTGAGATTCCCATTCAACAACTTCTGTTGTTGTTATGTGCCGTCGAGTCGGACCTGACTCATAGCAACCCCTCCTTGTAAGACACTGTTAGTGACACTGTTCAGTGATTTGGTGACATTCTTCACAGTGCGGGAACATTCTCATTTCCGTCCTCGCTGTTCTGTTTGGTGCTTTATTTAATGTGTTAATACACATTTTTGGAAAAAAAATGGCATAAGTAAAATATTGAGACTGAAAAATTAATCAATTGAAAGAACAGTGTTTGGTAAATAATATGAGTGGTATATGGTGAATTTTGGGGAAAGTGGTACATAAATGACTGAAGGCAGAGAAACACAGCACAAAGAGTCCTAAGGAAGAAAAATTTTTGTGTAGCTGTTGAGTAGCATATTCTATAATAGCGAATGGATCAGTCAGGAATCTTGATTTACAGATAACAGGATTTACCTTGATTGGTTTAAGCAGAAGAGGAATTTATTAAAGCGTATTAAGCATCCTACTTTGGTGAGTAGCGACTTGGGTCTTAAAAGCTTGCAAACAGCCATCTTAGATGCAACAGTTGTTCTGTTATCTGGATCAAAGAAAAGTGAAGAAAATCAAAGACGTATGGAAACCATTAGTCCAAGGGATTAGTGGACCATGGGAACCTCAGCCTGCATGACCCTGAGACCAGAAGAACTAGATGGTGCCCAGCTACCACACTGCCAACCATTTGGGAAGGGATCAGATTTGGAGAACCTGGATAGAGTGGGAGAAAAAAGGGGGACAAAACTCAAAATCATAAAAAAGACCAGGCTTACTGGTCTGATAGAGACTGGTGAAACCCCCTACCCTTCAGGCCTAGAATTGTTCTCACTCCTGTGGCTTAACTTCCAGCCAAACAAGTGTCTGAGATGAAACCAGGTCAGTACTCTCCTTAGAACAATCAACCATGGGAGATCAGAAGGGCAGTATTTGCTCAGAGAAAAAGCTTACAAGGCAGGAATGAATGGGAAAGAAGGACACAGTGAAAAGGCAACCACAGGGACAAAGTGGAAGAGAGCTGTTACGTTGTGAGGATTGCAGTCAGTGTCAAAAAAACAAAATGGGTATAAATTGTTGAATGGAAAATGAATTTGTCAACATTCACCTAAATAAAAAGAAAAAGACTTACAGATTTCTGGGGAGGGCTAGAGACATGGCTCTCGAGCCATAGGACTGACCCCATAAGAAATCTGCTGCCGCCACCATTGCCACCAAACACAAAGTGCCAGGACTTAGGCTTGTCTCCAACAGCTGTTGCTGGCAGCACTGAAGCCACTTTTGCATTAACAAAGTGGCCATCCCTCTGCCCCCAAAGCTGGGCAAATTCAACGTCTCACATGATAGGAGAAGCCTAGTTAATATGCCAAGTTCTTGTGTCAGAGGATGCTGAGATGTAGTCTGACTCTAATCTTGGGGAGGCAGGACTTAACTCAGGGAATTTCCCCAGATGTAGAAAATCTCTTGAAAAGACGTCCAGCCATATCATTACTGAACATTTTGATCAAAGATTCTATAGAAGAATCCTGGACAGAAAAGGAGAAATGCAGAACAGAATTTCAAATTCTCATGGAATCCAGACTTTCTGGAGCCATGGAGGCTGGATAAACCCCTGAAACTATTGCCCTAAGATAATCTTTAAACCTTAGACGAAAAATATCCTATGACATCTTCTTCAAACCAAACAGTACCTTAGCTTAACTAGTAAAGAATGTCTGCCTTGAGCACTTTGCTGTTGGAAGAACTATCAATACGGGATGGTATTGACAATGGCAATTTAAAGGAGCAATTAGGAAACAAGGCAGTAAGTTTATGTTAATGAGGGAGGAACAATTCAGAAAAAGGGTGAGAAGGTTGTACAACTTCAAGAATGTAATCAACATCACTGGATTGCACATGGAGAAATGGTTGAATCGGTCTATTTCTGTTACATATATTCTCAACAACAGAAGAGAAATCAAAAGATGTCCACCCATACCTATGGCAAATATTACAGTGAAAGAGCAGGATATACACAAATGTCCAGTCTGTTGGTATGGTGACATTACTTGTGGTACAGCCACTAGGTGAAATATTAATGGGGCCACAGCCAGATATCCTGAGGGAACAAATAGTTGGGCCTATGGGCTCGGGACTACAGTAGCAGGGAACTTTAAGTACAATTGGTATGACATACTACCCA